GCCGCTGCTTTCCCCGGGTAGGGCGCAGCTCCCCAGCCTCCGCCCCGGCCTCCCCTGGCGCTTCCTTCCGGGTCCTTCGGCCTTTTCCTGGCAGTGCTGCAGGCTCTCGCCTCTTCCCACCCTGCACGCCGCGGTGCTCGACCCTGGGCCTCCGGGTGGGCTGCCTCCGTTAGGGCCGCCCCTGGCCTCCGGGCGCGACTTTCATTGATCTCAGAATTTCTTGGCTCCTTTTGGCCTCTGCAGCCTTGCTGGAGGCTGCCCTGCGGAATCAGTGAATAAGGGAAACAGCAACAGTCACGTTAGGCAAAAGCTGATTTGGACAGTGCCACTGGTTCTTAACGCACGGCCCTCAGTGCAGCGTCCCACACGCAGGGGATTGTAGAGGTCCCGAGTTGAAGGTTCACTTTTAAAACTGACCGTAATCACCGCTGTAAAGGCCTTGCCGGACACATTTCCCAGAGAGGCGCCCCCAGAGGTAACGGCAGATGGACCCCAGGCTCAGGGTCCTCCTGGAACTTTCGGTTTATAGTAAAGCCCAGTAAACACGTTAATAACAGCAAGAGCTATAAAATACAGATGATGATTTAGCATTTGTGCCTTACCTATTTCTAGATATGGATCAGAAACTTTCGAAGTTGGTAGAAGAGCTCACAACTTCAGGAGAACCCAGACTAAATCCTGAGAAAATGAAGGAACTGAAGAAAATTTGCAAGTATGTCTTAGGGTTTAGTAACTCACAGTAACTGACTGGCCCACAGAGCCCAGGACACACACAGGGCCCTGTCCTCCTGCCCCGACCTGGGAGAGAATCACCCAATGACACACCCAGGACATTTTCTCAGGGCCCTGCAGTACCCAGCTCTGATGGGTGGTCATGTTCTGGGTTTGGGGCGTGTGGCGATGCAGACCCATCACTGCTCCGTGCTTGGTGCTTCTCTCTTCATTCCCGTTTCCTGAGTGCACATATGTGATTTAGAGAGAAACGTGTGTCTTTTTCTTTGCTGTTGGACTTTGCGAAGGGAGAGAAGAGAGCTTGCTGATGGGCGAGTTGGTCCATCGCCTTTAGGGTATGTCCACCCCTGTTCACTTCTCCCTCCGGGGAATACGCCGCCCAGGATCTCTGCAGGTCACCCTCAGGCAGCCAGAGATTCATGGGGGAAGCAGAACTTCCCCTCGGAGGGTGGAGCGTAAGTGGAGGACACTCATTATCCTGTATCCTGCGTTTGTAAAACGAGAACTTACAGATTGTTTATAGAGTAATGGAGTGTTGACATTTTAATAGAAAATTTCACGTCAGATTTTGCAGCATGCACCAGGAAATCCAATTCGCAATGGTTTATGTGGGGCCAGGAGCTGGGAAGAGGAGCATTCAGGAGGGGCTGGGAGATGTCCCGAGCTCTAGGCCTTCCCTTCCTTCCCGCATCAGGAGGCACCCAGCTGAACAGTGTGCGTGCTGGGCGGTGTGCGTTTGTGCTGGGCGGTCTGCGTTGTGCCGGGTGGCATGCGTTTAAAGGGCCGGATGGTTTGTGTTTCAGGCTTTGCTGTAAGGCCTCAGCTCTGTGAACGCAGCTGTACATGATGCAGCTGGATAAATGGGCCACATTCCAATGAAACTTTGTGAATGACCACCGACATTTGAAGTCTATATAATTTTCACATTTCACCAAGTATTTTTCATTTGTTTCAACATTCTTGGCCTGTGGGCCACACAGAAACAGGCAGGGGCTGGGGAACTAGATGGGGCCCTTGGGCGGCAGTATGCAGACCCTGCTCTAGAAAAGGGGAGAACGAAGATGGGAAGGCAGTGGTGGTCCCTGCCACACGTGCATGCAGCATCCCTTTACGGAGAGTCTCCCCCGACCCATCCTCTGCATGCGGGGCAGTTGGGTCAGGCTGGCTCGTATCTCCAGGTCTTCAGAGGAGCAGCTGAGCCGTGCCTACCGCCTGCTGATAGCACAGCTGACCCAGGAACACGCTGAGATCCGCCTCTCAGCTTTCCAGATCGTGGACGAACTCTTTGCCAGGTCTCACCAGTTCCGGATGCTGGTTGTTTCCAACTTCCAGGAGTTCCTGGAGCTCACGCTGGGCACGGATCCCGCACAGCCTCTGCCACCCCCCAGGGAGGCGGCACAGAGGCTGAGGCAGGCGGCCACCCGGGCCGTGGAAGTGTGGAATGAGAAGTTCGGGGAGGCCTACAAGAAGCTTGCCTTGGGCTACCACTTCTTAAGACACAACAAAAAGGTAGGTGGGCCTGGCCCATTTTCTCAGAGACTCTGGTTACCTGACATGAGGAGGGCAGACTGTACCAGGGTGAAGATGCACTTCCTGTCGGACCTGGCACGGCAGGGGCCTGCTTGGCCTTGCCTGAGCACCCCGGCTGCCAGACCGTCCGTGGAATGTGGGAAAGTGGACAGCAGCTGGGGTCAGGGCCTCCCTGAGAGGGGCGGCGCAGCTCTGAGAGGAAGAGCATAAGCTATGTGTGTGGATGGAGCTGAGGTTGCATGCGTAATTTTTTATGTGTGTGTAGGAGACAAAGGAAAAGCCAAATCCAACTTCTCAGATGCAGCATTTTCTATGGCAGTGGCTTGCACTTTAAGGCTCCACCCGGATCCTGCTGTGGGCTCTGGCTGGTTCCTGGCATGATGAAACCCACCAGGATCTGCTGCTGTGGCCTGAATCCAGCCTCATTGCCCAGACCCTACCGTGCCCCTTACCCCACCGTGCCCCTTACCCCACCTGCCACGAAGGCTCAGGCCTCCCCAGTGCAATGACCCGGACCCACTGGCTTCCCTGTGTGCCCTTGGAGTGCCCTGTCTCGCAGGGTTCATGCTCAGGGGTTGTTTCAGACCCCTGGGTCCAGTCAGCAGCCCCTGCCTGCCAGTGGAACAAGTGCGCTGCTTGCCTACCTGTGAGGTACTTGCGGTGAGAAGTCTCGTCGCCTCTTTTGAGTTAGCAGATGTGCTGGCATTCCCAGGCTGCGATAGCAGAGGGGTGTGCATTGTGTTTTGTTGTAATGCACCGTGAATAGCTGGGGGTGAGGGAGCACACCTGTAGTCCCACTGACTCTGGAAGCTGAGGCTGGTGGGTCACCTGGCCCTGGGAGTTTGAGTCCAGCCTGGGCAACACAGCAAGACCCCTGTCTTAAAAAAAAAAAAAAAAAAACCCACTGTGAACTTACAGATGTGCAGGGCTCCCGGCCACACGTGAATGCTGTGTCTTTTGTTAGGCTTACTTGAGCTTTATCTTCCTCACATTCTGTATAGATGGCCCTAGTTTTTGTTATGGTTATTGTTGTTGTTTTTGAGTCAGGGTCTCGCTCTGTCCCCCAGGCCCGAGTGCAGTGGTGTGATTTTGGTTCACTGCAACCTCCACCTCCCTGGTCCAAGTGATCCTCCTGCCTCAGCCTCCCAAGTAGCTGGGACTACAGGCGCCTGCCACCATGCCCAGCTATTTTTTTTTTTTTTTTTTGAGATGGAGTCTCACTCTGTCGCCCAGGCTGGAGTGCAGTGGCGCGATCTCAGCTCACTGCAAGCTCCGCCTCCCTTGTTCACGCCATTTTCCTGCCTCAGCCTCCCGAGTAGCTGGGACTACAGGCGCCCACCACCACGCCTGGATAATTTTTTGTATTTTTAGTAGAGACGGGGTTTCACCGTGTTTGCCAGGATAGTCTCGATCTGCTGACCTTGTGATCCACCTGCCTCGGCCTCCCAAAGTGCTGGGATTACAGGCATGAGCCACCGCGCCCAGCATAATTTTTGTATTTTTAGTAGAGATGGGGTTTCACCATGTTGGTCAGGCTGGTCTCGAACTTGTGACCTCATGATCTGCCCGCCTTGGCCTCCCAAAGTGCTGGGATGACAGGCGTGAGCCACCACGCTCGGCCGACCCTAGTCTTTATTTTCAATTGCTCAGGTGGATTTTCAAGACACAAATGCTCGGACTCTGGCAGAAAGAAAGAGAGAAGAAGAGAAGCAGAAGCACTTGGATAAAATTTACCAAGAAAGAGCCAGCCAGGCGGAGAGGGAGATGCAAGGCAAGTGCCCAGGACAGAGGGAGGGGCCCACACCTCTGGGGGTTGCCCGTGGTCTGGCAGTTCATTCTCCTGGTTCCAGGGCCCCGGCCGCAAGGGACCCAGGTTTTGAGACAGGCTAGGTGGAGATGATTCAGGTCGGGCTGGAAGGCATTCTCAGCCATAGGACCCCGCCCAGCACCCTGCAGGGGCCTCCTGGGCTGTCCGTGCCTCTCCCGCGCCCTCTGGTGGTCACGTTCACCCACGCCCGTTTGCTGCGCAGACCCCTGGACAGAGATACCGGGCACAGGTGTGCCTGTGGGCAGTGGTCTGAGCCCCAGCCTGGCTGAAGGCCCTGCCACTTGTTTATTTTGTGACTGCCTTGCCAGCCGCTTCCCCAAAACTTCACCATTTGCTTCCCGGCAGTCAGCCTTTCTCGTGAGTGTCATCACGATGGTGTGAGGAGGGGGTGCCACGGCCCTCCTGAGATACCTCCTGGCATGGGTGGAGGCACAGCCGTGTCTTCAGACTACATGTGCCCCAGATCCTTTCCCTGACAGACTGTGGTTCCAGACGCGGGCCCTGCCACAGGCCACTTCTGGGAAACACAGGCCTCAGGGGAACCCATAAGGCAGGCAGCCAGGCACCTAGACGATGAGGAGGCCGCCAGGAGGAAAGCTGCTCCAGCCCGAGAGTTGTGGCATGAACAAAGCTGTTCTGTTGCCCCAGGAAGGAGGTGCAGCCGTGTCCTGGGAAGTGCAGGCGGGCTGACCTCCCTGCACACTCGTGCTCGCTACCCAGGGGTGCAGAGAGGTTGCCTGCAAGCCCAGCTGCTGAGCTGGGTGCTTTAGGAAGCAGTTGAAAAGTGCACTGCACGGCCGGGCGCAGTGACTCACACCTGTCATCCCAGCACTTTGGGAGGCCAGGGCGGGCGGATCACTTGAGTCCAGCAGTTCGAAGCCAGCCTGGGCAACATAGCGAGACCCTGTCTCTACAAAAAAATTAGTTGATGGTATCACGTGCCTGTAGTCCCAGCTAATCAGGAGGCTGAGGCAGGAGGACTACCTGAGCCTGGAAGGTTGAGGCTGGGGTAAGCTGTGATTGTACCACTACATTCCACCTGAAAAGTGATGCCCTGCAGGGAGTGGGCCTCTGGCTGTGGTTTTGGGTGGGCTGGTGCTTTTGCTCCACATGGTGATGCAAACAGGTGTCTTGATCTTCTGGCAGAAATGTCTGGAGAAATTCAATCCTGCCTGACGGAGGTAGAGAGCTGCTTTAGGCTGCTGGTGCCTTTTGACTTTGACCCGAACCCGGAGACAGAATCGCTTGGCGTGGCTTCCGGCACGTCTGATGCCCTTCACTCCTCCTGCGCGGACCAGGGGGGCCCTTGCTGGTCTGGCACCCCTGACCCCTGGGACGGGGAGCAGCCGTGCTGCAGTAGAGACCTGCCTGCCTCTGCAGGCCACCCACCCCAGACAGCCACGGATGACCTCTCAGATGAGGATGAGGACAGTGACCTCGAGGAATTTATGCGGAGCCACGGGCTTGGCTCACACAAGTACACGCTGGACGTGGAGCTCTGCTCAGGTAACTGCCTTCCCGGGGTCTTTGCGGCGCCGCCCTGCCCCAGCTCCCAGGTGCCCCTCCCTCACTGGCACCCGGTCCCGGAGCTTTGGACTGCAGGGGCCTCCCCTGGGGGGCTAGATCAGGGGTCACCACCAGGTTTTTCCTTTCTGTGTGGCCTCTGCACTGGGATCCCCCCACCCATGCCAGGCCTCTGTGGCCACGGAGACGCTTCTGAGAGCTCGTGGCAGCCCCACCTCAGCGAGGCTGTGGACGGAGCGAGGACCCGCAGAATTGGGGTGAGGTGGGGTCTCGAGAGCGAGGCTGTGGACGGAGCAAGGACCCGCAGAACTGGGGTGAGGTGGGGTCTCGAGAGTGAGGCTGTGGACGGAGCAAGGACCCGCAGAATTGGGGTGAGGTGGGGTCTCGAGGCTGGTGTGGTCCTCGAAGGATGAGGGAGCACAGGCCTGACCACCAAGTGACCAGGAGCCCTGGGCAGGCTGCGTGGGCGTCCCGCCAGCTCACAGGCCTGTCACGGTCCCGTGTTGCCGTGAGGGGTCAGGTGGCACCAACCCTTGCTGGGAGGAAAATGTGATCCAGAAATGGCCACTCGCAGCCTTGGCACTGCAGCCTGGGTGGGTGAGGGTTGCTGAGACGCAGCCGCCCTCCGCTCCCCCAGCCCCAGCTTCCTCCCCACCCCACTGATGCCCCCCTTGGGGCCCTTTGGGTCTGTGCATGGCTTCAAATCGCTTTCTTTGAGGAACCTGCTTCTTTGGAAGCAGGCACAGCTGGTGTCCCTTCACCAGGGCCAGGAGGCAGCCGGGCTGGGAAGCTGCTGGGAGAACTGATCCTCAGGGCTCAGCTGCCCGGAGGTGCCTCAGCAGTGAGGCTGCAGGCCTGTGCGGGGTGGACACCGCTGCTGCCAGCCCAGGGCTGTCCTTGCCTGCACAGAGCTCAGCCCTGTGCCGGACGCTGAGCGTGCCACAGTGGGGGAAGCCACGGCAGAGCAGAGCTGGAGCTGGGGTGTCCGGCGGAGGAGAGGCCAGGGTGGGTGGGGGCCGGTGAGGCTGGACTGGGCAGGCCCCGTCCTGTGGGGTAGTCTGTGGAGGGGAAGGTTCTGTGCCTGGCAGGTGGGGGCAGTGAGTAGAAGAGGCCATGGGTGGTCTTGCCCCTCCAGATGGGATGGCTGCAGCCAAGGAGATTGAGACACAGGCAGTGGAGCTGTGTGTGAGGGGAGGCTTCGGTATGAAGCCACAGTGTTCTTTTCTAAGATCATAAAACACTTCCTTCTCACAGCATCAGGTTTGGGATTCCTGGGGGCAGGCATGGGCATCTGGCAGGTTCCCCTCAGGCTAGAGCAGCCTTCACTGCGTGGTCCGCCTCTCCGGGGCCTGTGGGAGATGCCGGCCGGCACCCTCGGGTGACCTCTGTGTGCCTCTCCCCAGAGGGCCTGAAGGTGCAGGAAAATGAGGACAACCTCGCTGTCGTCCACGCCGCCCGCGACACACTCAAGCTCATCCGGAACAAGTTCCTGCCGGCCGTGTGCTCGTGGATCCAGGTGAGCCTCAAACCTGGGACCTGTGGGTGGAGGGCCGTGTGCAGAGCGCCAGGCGTGGGGGGTCCCTTTCTTGGGGGCGCTGTGGCCCGGGGGCGTGGTCTGGTGACTTGAAAGGTCCCTGACCCGCAAGGGCTCTGTCCCTCACCTGCAGCTTCGTCCTCTGCACCCCAGGTGTACCAGAGACCCCCTGGTCCGGTGGACCTGGCGTGTGCCTCCCGGCGGGACGGCTTCCTGGGGCCTGCCGGCCAGGCCCCTGAGCTATCCGCACCCCCGTTTTGCAGCGCTTCACCCGCGTTGGGACCCACGGTGGATGTTTAAAGCGCGCCATTGACCTGAAGGCGGAATTGGAGCTTGCGCTGAGAAAATACAAGGAGCTGGACATCGAGCCCAAGGGAGGGCAGAGGCACAGGGTGAGTGGGCAAGCGGGAAGGCGTCGCAGAAGGCCTCAGTGGGGGAGGAGAAGCTGTGGCGGGCTGCACCCTGGGCCTGTGGGCCTGGCAGAACCCAACCACACCCCAAGCCCACTCAGCCCCAGCAAGGGCTTCCTGTGAGCCCAGGGTCGTCGCCGTGGCAGAGGGGATGGTGCAGCTGTTGGGTGCTGCCCGGCTGCCGTGTATGGGAGCTGAGCAGAGGTGCTGAGTGCTGCTCGTGCCTCCAGGAAGCCACCAGTCAGGCTGTGCCCCCACAACTCCTTCTAGGGAGTCATCTGCAATGCGGCGCCTGTCCTGGCGGGCACTGCGTCCACCAGAGGAGAGACCCCCGGCAAGCCCTCAGACGGCCAAGAGGGTCACCGCGGGCTCCAGTGCACTTAGGGGTGGAGACTTGGGTTACTGTCTGCTGAGCTTTGCGAGGGGCTTGGGAGGGTCGTAGGGGGCACTGCACTTCCCTGAGCAAGGAGCATAGGGTTAGAAGGGGCAGGGCCACCATGAGGGGCTGGAGGCTGGAGGGAGGTATGGGGTGCCTCTGGCGGGGTGAAGCTGGGAGCAGAGACCGTCGCATTGGGCGTGTTGGAGCCAGTTGAGGGTGTCAGTGCCCGGCACGCTGCTGTGCCAGGGCCTTAAACTGCCTGAGCACAGAATGGAAATCCGGGCCTCAGTGCCTGGAAGGGCCTGAGAGCTGGGGTCCTCTGCAGATGTCCTCGGCGGCACCCAGCAGTCAGGCCTTGGGACTGGAGGCACACCGCGGCCACCCTGGGCTCGCACAGCAGTGCTGTCTCTCAGGCGCCTCTCCCTCAGGGAACCCAAGCCCTGAACCCCAACACCCCTGAACTCGGACCCCAAACCCAGCGCTGGCCTGGGAGATGCTGGCCTTTTGGCTCTCCCCACGTTAAGGAAAGCTTTGGGGTGGAAGTGACATTGTGCTCCTGGCTGAGGAAGAGGTCGGGTTCCACAGCGGCAGACGTGCGGGGCCATGGAAGTGGGGGGCCCGAAAGCTCCTCTGGATGAAATGCTGAGCCTATGGTTTTCCCCGGGTCAGTGGCCGGCGTCCCCAGCATGGCGGAGGTGTGCAGACGCCCCGGGGCCAGCAGAGGGCGAGCTTGCTTTTCTCCTTTAAGTCTGAAACTGATTCCCGGAGAATTTATAGTCGTGTGGGAGCCCGGTGGCCGCACCGCTCGCCGCTCGTGTGTGGCGGTGTTTGTGGGTGCTGGTCAACACCTCGCTCCACGAGGAAATGCTTTTGTGAGTTGTGACAAAAATATACTTTTTGCAATGAGAAAGCATGCTGGTCTAGGCTGGGGGGGAAGATGGTGAGTGCTGTCAGCACGTCAGGATCAGGGTGAGCTCACTGCTCACGCCCAGCGCACTCAGGCCCACAGGATGGCAGCTGCAGGATCAGGCCCCGATGGCAGCCCCTGTCACCGCTGCCGAGTGGGCCGCGTGGGGGCTGCCAGCTGTGTCAGGGCGCTTCCCTGTGGCTCACACTGGGGCCCTTTGAAGGTCACTGCCCAGTCTCCACGGCACGGGCGAGGCTTGCTGGAGCCTCACGCTGAGACCCTGTACCAGGCACTGCCCCTGTGCAGCCGCCACCCTGGACTCACCTGGCGCAGCTCCTGCAGTCTGCAGACAGTTTTGTCTGAAGGTGGCTGGTGGGCCTTTGCCTGGCAGTGGAAACCCCTGGGGCAGCTGGCTTATTGGTGAGGGTCCACAGAGCAGAGGGGGTTGATGGGTGGCATGGTCTAGTCTCATCAGGCCTGGGCCCCTCCAGCTGGCACAGTCCTTTTAGTACCAGCAGCAGTGCTGGGGCTGGGGCAGCCAGGTGACTCTCCTTGGCCTGAGGTTCTGGCAGTGGAACCTTCTGGAATGTCTGGTGCTCCCCCTGCCTGCATCTCATACCTCCACAGCATCTGGGACGGCCCCCAGCTGGGGCTGGCTGGTGGAAGTGCGTCCGGGCAGCCTCTGGGGCTGCTGGCAGCTTGGCCTACTTGGGTGAGGATGAGGAGCTGCTGCTCCCCGAGTCGGGACTCTAATTCAGCACAGCTGCGGTACCGGCAAGGCCTGCAGGCTCCCGGCCATGGCTGACTTGCACCCACAGCTCCACCTCACCCTAGTGGATGCAAACTCCCTTGTGCCAGGGGCCCTGCATGCTCTTCCGTGAGTGTTCAGCTCAGCCTGGCCCCTGCCCTGTGTGGGCTTAGGAGAGCTGGCCTCCCGGACCTCTGCCGGCTGCGGGCCCCTGCTGGCTGTGCCCTCCTGGCTGCAGCGCCAGCCCCTCCTGCCACAGGGCTGCTCGGGGGTGCTGTATTCAGGGCCTGGTCTGTGGGGGCCAGGGCCCGCAAGATGGGTGTGGGCCAGGCCATGCAGGAGAGTGCTGGGCAGGGCATGGCCGCCTGAAGGACCCCAGCTGCTGCTGCTCCCACCCACCAGGTCCCGGGGACCCTGCCAATGCTGTTAGCTGTCTCTGAGCGTCTGAGTGACTGACGTGAGCGTCTCACACCCCACGTGGTGGAGCTACCAGCACCGCTCCTCCGTGGCGCATGACCCTAGCCCTTGGCACGCAGGCAGCCACCCTGACCCAGCGCCTGGGACCTGCTGCCCTTCCACTGTCCTTCCTCACTCCTGCTGGCCGAGGGCCCACTCCTGACCCATCTGTGTGCGTCCTCTTGAGATCTGAGTGGTGGCACTGGGTGGGGGGTGTCTGCGGCCAGGACTGACGGTGCTTGGAGGGCCCCTCGCCCCCTTCGACCACGCGGTCTGGCCAGCAGATGCGCCGCAGCTGTGCTTCAGAGCTGGTGAGTGTGCAAGGGCAGCAGGGCCTGTGAGGCTGGATTGAGGATGTCACAGCTCTGGCAGGAAGGGAGGCGCCACGCTGCTCCTTTGTCAGTTGAATGGACACTTTCTAGACTCTTCTCCGCAAACTGATGTTTTTTAAAGCACTGCTCTGAAGTCCTTAGAGATTTTGCTCGCGGCAGCTGGAGTGCGAGGAGCTGCCTGGAGATGAAGTGATTGGCGGGCTCGCCTGGCTCAGGTGAGCGGTGCTTCCCAGAATAAATGCCGCGGCGCCACTGCGGTATCTGCCCATCTCCCTCCTGGCTCCGCGCGGCCACTGCGTCTGAGTGGCGCGTGTGCGGCAGGTGGCTGGCTGACGAACGTGGATGTTAATTAGAGCCGTTTTAATTAGAAATTATGAATGAGGTGCTCCTCGTTAATTTTCGAATAAAATTTACAGAGGGTTTAAATCACTTCCCTCAGTGTCTCCCCATTTAGCACGGGATTGGCGTCGTTAACTCCGTGTGTAGAACAGAGCACGCTAATTCAATCATGCCTGATTTAAATATTTTTAGAACTTCCAACAATTGTGTAGGAGATGGGAACACGCAGCGCTGCTAGCTGCAGGCAGGAGCCCGGAGCCCAGCGCTGGAAGGCCCAGCCCATCCTGTGGCGGCTCCAGCCGGTGCCGGTGCCAAGGCTCTCAGGCAGTCACCCGGGAGCAGACACCGTGTCTTTCCTTTTTATCATTTCCACTTGGTTTCTACGTAGTATTGTTTTCCTTTTGACACAGATGTTCTGTCTTCAGAAAATGCTCACGCTGGTTTGAATACGTGTGCCGTGCGTTTGGAGCGCCTCCGTGGCTCCCGTCCGTGTGCCGTGCGTTTGGAGTGCCTCTGTGGTTTCTGTCCGTGTGCCGTGCGTTTGGAGTGCCTCTGTGTGGCTTCCGTCCGTGTGCCGTGCGTTTGGAGTGCCTCTGTGGCTCCCGTCTGGGAGCAGGCTGAGGGTGAATCTCCTGGATCGATGTGCAGCGTCATTTGGTAGATTGAGTGTCCAGCCTTGCCGCACTCCAGGGCAGGTGTGATCATCCGTGGCTGCGTCATTCACTGAGCTGATAAAAATCCTCTGGAAACTTTCACATTGCCTGCTGCCAAATTACATAGCTCAGATCACCAATTACTTTGTATTGTATAATTAACAAAATATTAATTTCCTATCAGGCAGTGAGTCAGAAAACCATCTTAAGCATCGTTCTCTTTAGTACTGTCAGCGTGGCGCTTTCCTTCTGCTAGTTACTGGGTTACTTGTTTCCATGGCTGAAAGATGCATTTGTTTTTGTTCTGGCCGGTGTTGAGGCTGTTGGGGCAGCCACGTGGGTTCGGCCGTGGGTACGTCCTCCATTGCTCACAGAACTGGAGTCGTCCCCCCAACTCTGTGCTTTTCTTTCTCTGCCGGCTGCCTGTCTGCCTCCTCCACCGGCCTTACCACCAGAGCTCTGATCTTTGGAGTTAGATGCCAGAAGCATTCTCTTGCCCTCTGATGTTCAGTGGGCTCCGGGATGCAGCCCACAGCCTCCTGGGGACCCTGTCAGCCCCTGGGATGGAGGCCCCACCTCCTTTCCCTGCCGTGCGTGAGGGGAAGTTTTCTGTGATGCTCTGGAGCCGTGGGAGTGTCTGACTTCCGGGAGGTGAAAAGGACAGAAACGGAAAACCCAGGGATGAAATGTGGACCCACCAGGCACAGGCAGGGGAGGAGGGACCTAAATCAGCGCTGTCGGGAAACCTTGGACCGCCATAGGGC